ATCTTGTCCCACCATACCAGTGAGTTCCATTTTCTCTTGTCTCACCATACCAGTGAGTTCCAGTTTCCCTTGTCCCACCATACCAGTGAGTTCCAGTTTCTCTTGTCTCACCATACCAGTGAGTTCCAGTTTAACTTGTCCACCATACCAGTGAGTTCCATTTTCCTCTTGTCTCACCATACCAGTGGGGTTCCAGTTTTCCCCATGTTTCACCATACCAGTGAGTTCCAGTTTCCCATGTATCACCAGACCAGTGAGTTCCCGTTTTCTTATGTCTCACCATACCAGTGATGTCCAGTTTCCCACCTTTCACCATACCAGTGAGTTCCAGTTTACTATGTTTCACCTTCCAGTAAGTTCCAGTTTCCCATGTCTCACCATACCAGAGAGTTCCAGTTTCTTATGACTCACCATACCAGTAAGTTCCAGTTTCTTATGACTCACCATACCAGTGAGTTCCAGTTTCCCTTGTCTCACCATACCAGTGAGTGTCAGTTTCCCGTGTCTCACCATACCAGTGAGTTCCAGTTTCCCTTGTCTCACCATACCAGTGAGTGTCAGTTTCCCGTGTGTCACCATACCAGTGAGTTCCAGTTTACTATGTTTCACCTTCCAGTAAGTTCCAGTTTCCCATGTCTCACCATACCAGAGAGTTCCAGTTTCTTATGACTCACCATACCAGTAAGTTCCAGTTTCTTATGACTCACCATACCAGTGAGTTCCAGTTTCCCTTGTCTCACCATACCAGTGAGTGTCAGTTTCCCGTGTCTCACCATACCAGTGAGTTTCCAGTTTCCTTGTCTCACCATACCAGTGAGTGTCAGTTTCCCGTGTGTCACCATACCAGTGAGTTCCAGTTTCCCGTGTCTCACCATAACCAGTGAGTCCAGTTTCCCCATGTTTCATCATACCAGTGAGTTCCAGTTTCCCATGTCTCACCATACCAGTGAGTCCAGTTTCCCATGTTTCATCATACCAGTGAGTTCCAGTTTCCCATGTTTCATCATACCAGTGAGTCCAGTTTCCCGTGTCTCACCATACCAGTGAGTTCCAGTTTCCCGTGTCTCACCATACCAGTGAGTTCCAGTTTCCCATGTTTCATCATACCAGTGAGTTCCAGTTTCTTATGTTTAACCACTCCAGTGATTTCCAGTTTCCGATGTCTCACCACTCCAGTGATTTTCAGTTTCCGATGTCTCACCATACCAGTGAGTTCCAGTTTCCCATGTCTCACCATACCACTGAGTTCAAGTTTCCCACCTTTCACCATACCAGTGAGGGTGTACAGAGGTATTCAGTAAATTCGTATTTCAATAGTTTTCCCGAAAAAATGACGAATGGTTTTCTCAAGACTGAAAGATAAAAATTCCATGTTGTCTATCGAAACATCCTCGGCTATTAATTCTTTATCCGAAGACTGATGAAAATGTCCGAAACGTTGCGATGGCCATGTTGAAAGCACCGAGTCATTTTTATAGACACGAACATTGCAAAGTGTCTGTCACGTGGTTAAAATAATAGTTTTGTGTAGTTATATGAATTTTATGTTCGATTTATGAAGATCACCGAAATTTGAAATAATTGCATTATATGTATTAACTAATTACTTCTAGTAGGCAATATGTTTAAAGATACTGCATGTTTGTAACATCGCTTTTCATTGGATAATCATGACGTTTATAAACACGACTGCTGTCAATTTATGATTTTTTTATTCTCAAATAAAGAAAGTGTGCCTTATCATAAATTCGTAATAAAGATTCTTGACAGGTAATATAGAGGATATTTTGTTTAGTTCAGTGTAAGATCGGAATATATGTCACCGAGTGAGCACCAAAAGGTATATTTCACGAGTGCGCTACTCGTGAAATATGAACTTTTGGTGTTCACAAGATGAAATATATTTCGATCTTACACTAAACTAAATAAATTTTCTTTTTATTACATGCAAAGAAATGTTTTAAAAAGACATTAAACCTAATACTGTATGAAAAGCGCTCCAAATAATAATACCACGTGACGTCATTTACGACGTCACTTCATTAAGTTGGTTCCCAGTACTGTGCACGCTGGTTATTCACTGAAACAACGTAATGGGCTGAAATTCAAAGTAATGAAATAATCAAATTGATAATTTCATTGTTAAAAACAGAGAAATTATCAGTTTTATATCACTGATATATTTCTATAAACCACCGAAAAGCATGTAATAAACACCGCCTCCGTGGTCGAGGGGTTAGAGTCGATGACTTCTAATCCATGTACCTCTCTGGCGAGGGTTTGATCCCCGGGAGATGCTTTGGTAGTTTAGCGCGGAGGAAGGTTGTCTAGTACCGGTGTAACTCTCCAGGAACGATGGTTAGGAAACTTTCCGCCTAGATATGACTGAAATACTGTTGAAAAAGGCGTAAAATGAAACAAACAAACAAACAGCGTGTAATAAACGGTCGTTTTCAATTATGCAGTATAATAATTATGCAATATAAAAGCTCGCGTTATATATGCAAACAACAACAACCGTTTATATGATTATTTATACAGACTTTCTGACATGTTATATGGCCTTTTATATGATAAGCTGGCGGAATTTACCGAATGTCAACGAACTTGTACCTTTGACTAATTGGATGGTTTTTTGCTTATAGTAATGAAAAAATGATGAAAATATACTTATTATCGAGTAAGCTACGTTGATATTTCTCTTTTTTTATTTTATCAATAAAACCCAACAATACACGTTGTTTTTTTTTGAGGGATGACTTGTATACATGTACATGTATATTAAAAAAAAATACATCACAGAAATATTTCCAGCGATTATACAATTATTCTCTGATCTTATCTCTATATTATATTATAACACAAAACAAAAATAATAAAAACAACATAAAGGATGATATATTTATCAGGCCATGATTCCTTTTAACAGAGTTGGAAGGTGGGTTGGGATCGCAAAATTTCGGAAAAGGGTCAAGCATTTTCAAAATATGGGGAAGTGATATTTTACTAGATTCACCAGCCGAAGGTCGCGAGTCTAACTTTTTATGATTTTTTTTTCTGTATGATTTTCGCCTAAAAAGTACATTTTTTTAATGTAATAGAGTCAGTGCCATCTTCTATGTAAGTGATCTCGGCAGATTTGATGGGGCCCGATACTACCATTCACAATGAGCGGAATTATACAAATAAATATTCGTTTTTATCATATATCTATACATGAAATATTAAGACATATTGATGAAATAAAATGCGTATTTTCATTTTTCGTATTTTCACAATAACATGGGGTTTTTTAACGCTAAAAAGAATAAAATGGACGCTTTTAACAGCTCAATAATGCAAGCATTGTCACTTCTAACATTTGATTATTGTGTTTTTGTTTTTTGTTTTTTTTTTTTGGTTTTTTTTGTTTTTGTTTGTTTTGTTTTTTGTTGTTGTTGTTTTTAATATTATTATTGTTGCTATTTTGCGAAACGATGATCGCAAAAGACAACCAAGACAAAAATGCATACATTTTAATGTTCATAATAATGATAAAAATAATAAAATCTTTATCTACAGAAGGTAACACATTAAGACATAAAATTATACAGATTTAACACCTTATTACCAATGTGACCTTCGAAATAAAAACATACCGATCGAAGAAAATATAACATGTAAAAGGTACATTATTAAAAGGTAATCACAGTTTTAACATATATCTTGACACATAAAATGAACATTCATACAATTTGTTTATCAAAAACTATCATATGTCTTAATATGTGTGTATACTCAGACAATGTACACATGTCGCTTACACATTCAACAACAACTCATAGGGTTTTTTTTTGGAGATGGCCAAGCAAATCTTTTTTTTTTTATCTCATTTCCTTTTCCATGACAATTCCGATTGATACTTTATTTCCTTCAATGTATATGAAGATCCGAACATGTATAAAAACATATAAATACAGATAAAACAACTACATGTACATACAATATGAACACTATTAACACGTAGTCAAATATAACTGTAAACATATTTATTTATCAATTTACAGAAATCAACAATCGAGAAATCAATATTTCTTGAAACATACTCATATTTAAAATGAAAGAAAGAAAGAAAGAAAGAAAGAAAGAAAGAAAGAAAGAAAGAAAGAAAGAAAGAAAGAAAGAAAGAAAGAAAGAAAGAAAGAAAGAAAGAATCAATCAATCAATCAAGCAATTCCCGCTTTAAAGATTTTGTCAGAATGAGTGTAATTATTCTTACAATCAGTTCAATAACAAAAAAAACGCTTTTCTTTAGCTTTCGACGTTTTGTCTCATTCAGAAAAAAAATGACATTTTTAGGGGGTGTAATTATTCTTAGGAGTAAAGATAACAATGTGCAGATAGCCAGTGTTGTAGATCTATGTCCTGAACATAACATTTAACGAGAAACATGTAATAAATACGCGAATACTTAGAAAATGCCGGTAACCCATCCCTGTATTATTCAATGACATGCTAAAAAATATTAAAATTATAATTTGAGCAATTAAACAGACATGTAACAATTTATAGAAATGAAAAGCATGTACCTTTTAAAAATTCTTTGGACAAATCAATGCTGGAGTGAATAATCACAATACAATAGACTAAACATATTGACTCTCGAGTTAATTAGCCATGCCTCGGGGGCTACTTTATTCCAGTACCCAAGCGCATGTCAAATATTCTTCTTTGTACGTTTCGATTTATCTTGCGTAACTTAAAGAACGGTCATTATTTTTTCACAGTTTTTCTTCAGATGACATTTTTCAGACACAAAAGTTGGTCCGTTAATTAGCAAGCAATTACTGGTCAGTCAGTGAAAGGAGCGAAAGTTGTCACACCTTTTTCCGATGCGATGCTCTTTCATCCAATCAGTTTAGACTAAGGCCTGCCCAGGTATATAACGTTTGAATGTCCATCTGTCAATCAAGTCATCAACGTCAACGACTTTTTTAGGATCACTATGACAATGGTTAAAAGGTCTCTTATTCTTTAAAAGCAAGATTAAAACCACGGTTTGAGTCAAAAGTCTCACGGCATTTGGATAAAGAGGTTGCTAGGAATTTTAAGAGAGAACTGTTATATATATTCAAAGACTGGTGTGATATGTAAGCGGTGGACATAAAGTGAAATATAGAGAAAGTTGAGAAAAAATATCGCAAGTTTGAATCTTTAAAGAAAAGTAAAGGTGTATTGTTTTGATAAAAATGGGAAGTACAGACGCAAACCCCCAGGATCTGCTACGAGAGGCTTATAACCAGGTGGCTTTTTATGGAAGCAAAGAAGAGTCAGACTTGCCGCAATACAACGGAAGAGATACTCATTTTACAGAGGATGCATCGGGGCGTGCCGACGGCCATGTCGATTCGTCCGCTGGAGAAGAATCATACGCCGACGACAGCGAGAAAGACGGGTCTTCGGCGGAGGAAGAAGAGGGGCAATATGCAACATTGGAAACCGTCGGAACGAAATACCACACTGGCAATGAGTATCGTAATGAGTCACATGGTGTTAATGTGATTGAATTCAAAGATACCGTGCACGCTACACCGTATCAGTTTCAACCATATCAACCGTACTATCAAGGTGAAGGTCAAACAAATGAATATCCGTCGGATTTGAATCCCGAGTACAAACAGGAGAAGTACGAAAACGACGAAGATGCTCATTATGAGGGAAATTATTCATACCCGCCGTACTTAGGCTATGCGCCCGGGAATATTACACACAAGCCACGGGACGTGCCTTACCCGTACAATATGCCGCCATCTCTACCTGCAGGGGCTCATCAGCCGCTGTGTTACGGAGCCTACGGTCCACAGGAGCCTATACATTCGCTGGCATCTGGGAAAGCAGGCGTTTTTCTGTGTAATAGAGAGCTGTGGTCAAAATTTCATACACATATTACTGAAATGATTGTGACGAAACAAGGGAGGTAAGTCGGTGTTAATTTTGTTGATTCTATTGTAAATGAAACTTTAAGATTTAAATGGACTATGCAATAACTTATTTAAGTAATGACGTTTACAATACTAGTCCTATATTTATTTTTAGTAAACTTCAAAGGATGGTAAGTAGAAAAAATGTAAATATGATTTTGAAATAGTTGTAATATTAATTCTTTATTTACATTCAATATGGCATAATTTAGATGTGATCGTTTAACTTAAGTTACCACATACCCGTGCCGATTTTACGACTCCATAAAAATGGTATTGAACGGCCGTGACGTCTAAGCGCAAAGATGCGCTAAACGTTAGCGTTAAACTATATATTGACGCGCCGTCAATGATTCTTTTTGCACTTTTTACACAGTTCTTATACACTTTAGGTATGTGATAAATAACATTATATTCGTGTCAGTTCATTACTGAATTTATTGAACTCGTTGTTGTTTTTCAGGCGCATGTTTCCCGTACTTGAATTCAGTTTCACGGATTTAATTCCGACTAAAATGTACAATGTCTATGTGGACATGATATTGGCGGACAATCATCACTGGAAATTTCAAAATGGAAAGTGGATCCCCGTCGGAGATGCTGAGCAGTTGCCGAAAAGTAAAATTTTATTTCAAAACTCCCTCCATAGCCTCAGCTGGGTTTGATTCGTTTATGAAAAGATCAAGTTTTCCGTTGTTTTTTTTTTTAACTATTTTTCACAAATCAAATCCATATCTTTATACAATGATTAACCTTTACAATTTGGGTTAAAATAAATGACATTCGGATTTATTTTTCATTTTCGCTAAACGATGTTGTTATTAATGATGATGATAATGATGTTAATGATGATGGTGGTGGTGGCAATGATGATGCTGATGATGATAAAGTTGATGATTATCATGACGATGATGGCCATGTTGATAATGATAATTATGATGATGATGATGATGATGATGACTACAATTATTATAATAATAACGTTTCTATCACAGCTGGGAGGATATACCTACACCCTGACTCGCCGAACACAGGTGCACATTGGATGAAACAGGACATTATCTTCAACAAACTCAAACTTACAAACAACAAGAGCAATTCTGGAGGACACGTAAGACATTTATACCTCTTTTCTCTTCTTCATGTTTAATACTATAATTTATAAACAACAAACTTACACACAAAAAAACTTGATTTAAGAGCCTGTAAGCCATGTATTCCTATTTTCTGTTCTTCGTGCTCCATAATATGATTGAGATGATATGATCATACCAACAACAAAAACACACAAAAACAACAATAATTATTTTGCTGGCCTGTAAGCGATTTATTCCCATTTTCATTTCTTGATTTTCTTTCAATTTACTTACGGTCGGTAGAAATTCCGTCCCCGCCTCCAACACCCGTATTCGAACTTATTTTAGTTTATTTTCATTCTATTGCAATGACGACCTAATTAACTTTATTGTATCTGTTTTAGATTGTCGTAAACTCCATGCATAAATACCAGCCTCGAATAAATGTAATTGAAGTCGGGCCTTGTAAAACAGGGGACCCTCAAACGCTACAGACACATTCATTTCCGGAGACGCAGTTCATTACAGTCACGGCATACCAGAACACAGATGTAAGTCTAATTTTATGATTGCCACGACTATAGGTTCGAATCCCACTTGGGATTTTAAATTCTTCCATTCGAGGAAGCTTTAAGATACGACTGGTTTACGATAGTTGTTCTCTGTTGTCACCATGTGTAAAAGGGCATGTGTTTAAAATTTCCAAATTTGATTTCTTTTTAATCAATGGTGCATAAGAAATATTGATTGAATACATCTGATTCGAAAAAAAATTTTATTTTTCAGTAAAACCGCTGATAACTTTTTTTCGTTTCAAATTTTACCGTTTGTAACGGTTTGTTTAAATACCCGGCTGTTTCAAACATCTTAGATATCAACTACCGTTAACTCGATATTGCTTTTCTCGCCTTTTCGTGATATCGATACCTTATTTGATTCATTCTTTATCTATATGGAATATATTTGCTAATATCGAAATTCTATCTCAATATTTACCAGTATCTCGTTATAAATTTTTCACTCTCGAAAATTATTCTCATTGATATTATAATATTTTATAAATAACATATTTTGATATTTTGTATCCAGCCCTCTTTCTTGAAAGCCTTTCTAAAGCACCCTATAAATATCTATTGTAGAATCGTAAAACTATAGATATTAACTGATATTTCAAAGAACAAATATTCATATTTTTCAGATAACTCAGTTGAAGATTGACCACAATCCCTTTGCCAAAGGATTTCGTGATACACAAGATGGGTAAGCGCCTATGCCAAGTTAATTTAAGCACAAAGTACCCGTATGTGCGCCACAAAGTACCCGTATGTACTCCACAAATACCCGTATGTTCTCCACAAAGTACCCGTATGTACTCCACAAGTACCCGTATGTACTCCACAAAGTACCCGTATGTACTTATTTTGATTTTCATTCTGTAAATTCATTTGGTTTTAGGCTAAAATGTTATTCATCATAACTGTGAAAGTTCGGTAAACATGTATACTTCCGGGATGTTAAAAATCGTCGGTATGAGCAGAATGAATATTCAAGCATGTAACGTTAAGATGTAACGTTAGCAACGTCATTCCGGTCACTGTATACATGTACATGTATATTACTGACTTTCCATATTTCTATATAATAATGATTCGCGCATTAAAAAAAACATTCGCAGATATATAACACATATAAAGTTTTGACCAGTGTGTCATTTTCTAATTTCATTATACTAAAAATATTTCGCTTGTATACCTTTTAAAGAAAAAACATGATTTATCTGCATACGATAATGTTGTTAGCATCACAGTACTATTTTTGCAATTCATACCCGAAAGTAGATTCTCTCATCACGCACTTGTTTATAATTCATGACTTCTTTTTCTTTTACAGAAATGTACAAACAGGTAGAATGCTTCCCGGTGGGTACCCTCATATGACGCCAGCTACGCCGGATCTTGCATTCCATAGACTGCCGCCAACATCACAGGGATACTATCCAAAAGGCGGTTTTCCGATTACCGATGCGCACAGAGATTTACCGTTCCTTCCGCCAAATTACCCAGGTCCTACTTTTTCTTCCGCCGGACCAATGACATCAGGAGATTTAGATCATCACGCCAGTTCGTATGACCAGTTTCGGATAGCTCCACCAGTTCAAAGTGAAGAGCCCGCGCAGGAATATTGGGGTGAAGGTGAACAGTCGGAAGACCAATATAAGATGGAGCCTCCATCGAAAAGAGTGAGATATTCCGATGAAGAATATAATTGTTTATAATCCCACTTCAAATGGTAGAGGGTATTCGAATCATAAAATCGATAATTCAAGACGATGTTCAACTTTACATGATTTTTCTTACATATATAGAAATGCAAAGGTTTTTGGGGCGGGGGATTCTAACGAAATAAGCCAAAAATGCTTCAAATGGTACTCTAATTGAATTAAAGGGAAAGCTGTCATTCTCACGTCGGCGCCACACTTTGGTCAAGTTTTTGCTTGCAAATTGAATCTGAAAAAACTATTCAAGGAAATGACTTGAAACTTCAAAAGTGTTTTCCCTATTTTTGAAGGTTTGTTTGATCTTGGTCTATATTTTGATGGGTTTATTTTAGAGAGAGGAACTCGATTCTCATATTCTATGTAATGTCCCTGAAAGTCGAAGGTCAAATATTTTCCCCTACAATGTACATTTTTCAGTTTATTTTTTTTTATTTTCCTTTGTCATTTTTTTGGAAACAATATACAATAGTCACATAGATCCTTCTATAAAAATCATTTGGTATTTTTAATCATTATTATGGCCATTAGTTAACTGTTGTCGTAGTTATTTCCGATAACCGGTAACTTTTAATGCTTATTGTTTACAGCAATAATTTGCGATAAGTTTTAAGAAATTTGAGGCACACAAAAAAATGTTGCAATTTTTCGAAAATACAAAATGTATAGGTTTATATATTTATTTTAATGGCAAAAGTCTTTAACACAGGGCTGTAGAAAGCGAGTTTTATTGTATATATTTATATTGTTTTGTTCTAGTCAAATGGTTAAGTGCGTCTTGTGTAAATATTAGCAAAAGTTGTGATACATTGGTATTCATTTTTGTCATATTATCATCATAGCATTACACACTATTTTCCTGGTCATTTTGTCATTAAAACATATTTTTTATATTTCATTTCCGACGTGCATGTATTAGCACGTTCTGATTTGTAAACATTTTTTATTGGCCATTTCTCACGTAGTATCTATATTTCAAGTTTCATTTCCTCTCGACAAAAACACATTTCTTGGCCCCACTGAGGTCAAAAAGCCTAAAAACATAAACATTTATTTTTACATAGATCATGTGAAGCAGTTTAAATGGAAAAGTATGCAAAGACTGACAAAGAAATACGCCCGGGATTGAATTTAAAAATAAGTCTTTTTTGTGTAATTTATTGCCCAATTGAGCGAAAAGCGTTCAACGCTTTTCATTTTTTGGTAAATTTGCACAATAAAAATGCTGATTCTGATGAAAGAGGGTGTGGGTATGATCTCAAAATCTGCACACTGGTTATTTCTCCAGGCTTACATCAAATAATACCTTAATATTGGGATTTTTTTACCGGTCCCGTCAAGTTAAAAAACCTCAGTGGTGTCCCTTTAATGTAAAAAAGGTTCGGATACTGACTTTACTTTCCGATTATGGCGCCAGCGGGATTTGCCGAATTAAGACTATGATGGGATCAGGCAAATATTTCTGCTCTTTATAGATGGAATTTATGACATATTTACGACAAATAACAATATTTTTTATATTTCATTTTCATCGATGAATATATAGTTTTATATCTCACAGTGAACTTACACAATGCAAAGCCTGTCATTGTTCCATAAACTTATGAAACAAGAAGAAAAAATATTAATTTTTTTTTAAATAATAAACATATTTTCACATTTTTTTCACATTTTAATCGTGCCATTCATGACTATTTGGTATATCACCAACATGGGATATAGCTATATTTTCACTAATATCATGCATTCTATTTACACTTTTTAACTTCTGTATTTACGACTCAGTTTGCCGCAACACGTGAATCTTAAAAGGTCATTCAGTTTACATAACAATAAAATCGATTTATTTGGTAAGCAAATCTAATGGTTGGAGATAAATCGCAAAAATAATATAACATGCTAATTGAAAAAGTATAAGAAATGCCCAGGGAAGGTTTATTATTGTTTTTATATAAACTTCAATCTATATTACCATTGTGTAACATGCAACACGGAGTGCTTTAAACACATTTTTATCATTCAGAATAATATATTATACTAGATAAGCCATCTGCCCGGAGACTTACGTGATGAAATTATTGATCTAATTTAGAAAATATTATTTCGGAAGCTTCAATAATTGAAAAAATAATGATCAAAATAAATTAAAAAAAAATATATGAATTTTTTAAAAATTCAATGGCTATCTGAAGAAAAAATCGTTTATGATAAGCTAATTGGACTTTTCCCAATGTTTGCAGTTTTATGTAAATGTACCTTTTTAAGTATTAACAGTTGTATGCAAATGGCAGACTGGCTATCCAATTGCTACACTGGGATAATACATGCAAATTACTTAGTAAAGAAAAAATGCTGGGCAAAATAATTCCCGACTGAGTAAATGGAATGTTCATCCTTTTACTGCATTTTTGAGTGTCTTAACCCTAATGAACATTATTATATATAATATTTACATATTATATCATAATCTAAAATGTTTGTCTCTTTTTGCAGGAAACATTCTTGCAGTTTTTACTAAAAAATGATTGCCATATGCTTTTGATAAATGACATCATATTTCAGTTGAAATTAGTTCGATTGTTTCTACAAAAAGGGGCGAAGGTCATACTTGAAAATGTTCTTCCATTTGGCAGGAAAGATCGTTGCATTTTTTTTCCTAAAAATTATTGCCATTTGCTTATAAATAATGGAATTAGTTTTTAGATAAAAATGTGTTTGATTAAGTCTGCAAAATTTGATGAAAGTAGTTGATGAGGCTGTCCAGAAATGTTTTTATAAGAGCAGAAAGGAACATAGTGTGCAGATTCAATTAAAAGTGAACGCAAACGTTATTTCTTCAGTTTCTATTTAACAATTAGATCAGATCTATTAAAAACTAGAGCTAAATTCCTATCATGTATCATTATATTTGAATTCAGTATGTCATTTCCATTCATTTAAGGCAAAAATCTCATTACGATGTTTTGTATTTTCCGTGTCAAGTTATTTCAAGTCTAAAAGTCATCTTGCCATTATAGTCATGTTTGTGCTTTAGTTTTGTTGCTTAGTCCACCATCAGCTCATCATCTCCATTTCATTTAACTGTTTATATAAAGCATTTCTTGCGCATGTCTACGTTTTACCGGAAGTGACGCTTTGTTTGAAAAGGAATTTCAAGCGCCCATTGATGCAGAAATGTTTAAAATATGCGAGCTCAGTAAATACCAGCACCAAAAGATAGTTGAAATTATAGTAATGTCGGAAATGTTAATTTTAATGTATACCAAAATGTATGGCGTCATCATTAAAGCTTTTTTTTGTTCACAAATACTTTGCATAATTCGTAAAGCGTGGGTTTCTTATTGATTTCAAACGGAAGTGGTGTTTTTTTATCATGTATCGTATTTTACACGAGTGCAAAGGGGAATGACGGTTTCAGAACACAACGAGAATAAAAAAGTGCTGTAGATATTTTTTTTTTCTAAAATCTTATTCCGCAATTTTATCTTTCATCATTATTTATTAAAATGTGACATCGAAAACAAACGATATGCCATGCAAGTAACTTGGCTGACAATGGACACGTTTGTTTACAGATGATAAGTAGCGGAAAACATGTTTTAAGAATTCATAGTTTATATATTTTACTCATTTTATTTATTTCTGTAAATATCATAGCAATTGTTTTAATTATTGAAAATAAATATTGTGTAACAAAGATCTGTACAGACTTCATCTTTAATAGATATTTCCCAATTTTCCCTGTATTTACCACCCTTGGCAAAAGTGGCCGCCATTTTAGGGATCTGGAAGGACCCCAAAAAATGGCGACAATGGGAGGTAATAATTGCCATGTGGAACGCACGTATAGTTCACGTTTTAATTTGCATCGTGATATTTATATAATCTGTGGTCTTGATAAAGTACAATGTTTTGGCAATATTGACTTGAGACATTTGAATAGCCAATACCCTTTCGTCAGTAATTATCAACTTCTGAAGTAAATCAGATTTTTAAAAATGGCATGACCGCATACATAGTTCATGTATAACTCAAAAGTCACAGATCTCTCAAATTCAAATTGAAGGTAATTACATGTAGTAAATTGTAGTAGTTTCGAATCTTAATGTAACATTTTTTCCCCGAAATTCGCCTACTAGGTTTTTAGCATGCCAATTATCCACTGTATGACTTTGTGTACTGAAATATTAAAAAAAATACATATACATGTACATGTATTTATCTAGAAACTTTTGAGCTTTATAGCTCAATGATAGACCATAGTTAAAAAATAAAAAAGACACTAAGGAATAACTAAATGATTGCTGCAGATATTTTGTAAAACGTTGAAGAAATCTTTCACAAATGATCCGTGGATCGCGATGCCACCTTATTTACCACTAGGCCATTGGACCGTAGTTATGCATTAAAGGAACTCCTACCCCGAGTTGTTACGGTTATATACAACCGATAAAATTGAGCCATATAACCTGACAGACAGCTTTATAACTAATAATATAATCCAGACATGCTGTGGAGAACCTGTTTTTATATATTGCTTATATGTTAGTTTTATGAAATGCAGTTTTACTTATACCATTATAAAATTACTTGAAGATTTAATTAACTGTTTAATTTTTTCAAGCTTTGAATTTGTAACAGCTGTATTATGAATTCGCTATAAAGATTCCTGGAAGGTTATATGGTCGAATTTAAACGAGTGTTTTCAATATAACGCTCGCCTAGCGATTCGTGTTTTATTGGCAAACAACCGTTTATATAGGATCATAATTTATAACCGTTCAGTTAACTTTATAACTAATAATATTACAGTGTCGTGACGACTTGAAACTCAATAACAACAACAACAATAACAAAATACATGTACATCCATTGGTAAAAAGACTCTCGTTGAAGCTAGACTACAAGAATGATACTTTTAAAGGAACTTTTTTTCTTTTGTTTTCAAAAATTATTATTCTAATTGTGTACAATCATTCTTAAAATGATCAAAAAATTAAATGTTTAGCAACGCTTTCCACTCAAATTGGCCAAGAATTGCACAAAAACACGATTAACAATGCATTTCTGAGCACAGTCCATAATTTCTTGCATATATTTCCGTTTTGTTAGACAATGATTTATTTACTAGTAATAAAAAACAATGAAATTTCGAAGTAAGGAAATATGGAGTAAAATTTAGTTAATTTGGCTGATGATTTGGAACATAGCCTGTATACATACAGTAGACATCAAGTTTGTAATTAAATTTGTGCAACAAAGAAAGTTTGGGCTTTCTCCTCAGCATCAACAAAAGTGACTTAAAATCACAAATGAAAATCGTTAAAACGGCTAAGAATCGTACAAAAAGTCCATTTGCTCTAAAAATGACTGAAGATGGTCGACTTAAATAATTAAGATAGTTATGTTGTTGAAAACGGGCAACCTTGACCCATACAACGATGATTTTTTTTTAATTTGCATTCGCATTATTTCTTTAGTTTAGTTTAAACATATTTAGTTGAGATCTATTGCGGAACAAGTTCTTGCAACTTATTTCAACCACTTTCGAGTCCGCTTCCTGGAAGCAACCAGTACCGGTATGATATGAAGATTCATGGTCATGACCCGAGTAGGACTCGCACCCATGATCACCGTGTTGTGTGGCAGACACACAGCGTATGTGACATATAAACATTTATATATTTTCGATATTCAATCTGCTACATATGCGGCTAGATATTGATACGCTTTTCGTACAAACGAATCACCGTACTTTTATTATCGTAGTCTGACATTTATTTCTTACGCAGTTAAGATGATATTTGAGATGCGTGTTTCCAAGAGACGGACTTTGTTTGTTTTCGGAAATACGGTTGTCATGGTAATTCTATTGTTACAGGTAAATCAGACCAAAAAAATGACTAAAAACATCTGCCGATCAATTGGCGCTGACATTTACAAACAATATTTGTTATCGATTTACATGTACAATGTACCAAATAATCAAAATGCACCTGTTAGTTTTACGTTTCATGTTCATTCCGCGATCATAAGGCTCTTTTATAGAATGTATTGGTGGCTTGAGAAACTATTAACAATAGTAACAAAAAAATATTTTATGGTTAAAAATGTCTAAGAAGTAGTTTGTATGCCCGATGAAAACCTGGTGAAATAGTTTTACCCTTGTCCTGATAGACTCAGAAATAATTAACCTTTACCAAGGTTCAACCTGTACATCTTGATTACCCTACAGTAGATAATGGACCTGTCCAAAATATGAAAGAGAGACGGGTCTATTAAAGAAATTCAAGTTTAAGGCCCATTGTGCCTTAGACACGAATCAATTTTTACTCCTTTAGAATTGGCAAATTTGAATTGGAATTTATATACCGTTTAGAAAAAGGGTTAAGAGCATGTAAGATGCTTGTTACCTCATGAAAGTAGCAGTAAATAAATGTAATCAAAGTAGTAGTTTGACTTCCATACAAAATACTTCTTCACTACAACTGTATTTATTGCAACAGTTGAAAAAGATGGTTCAGATTATTGGCCAAAGAGTAACTGTTTTGATACTATGAAAGTAAACCAAAATTTTAAACGCTTTTGTGAAGTAAAAATAAAAGCATTTCTGAGGAATAATGGGCCTTTAAGCCTTAATTTGTGGAAAATATTACTGTTGTAAAAAAGAAGGTATTTCTATAGAGAGCTGTTCTATAACTGTTGTACTGTCATAAACATAAAAATGTTTTGAACATTTTTTTTAAGTTCACGCACGACGACTTTATAATTCTACACAATTCAATTCATCGGCAGTAAATGTGTATACCTTATAACAAATCGTCTTAAAAAAAAAAAAAAACTCAAATAACAAATTAAATTTTTATTTTGTTTAGAGCGCTTGGCGGAGCAAAAATAACTACATGTATATCAATATATATACATAAAATAAACATACATATTACGTTCACATATCAGAAAAACAAGTCATATATTTTAACATATAATTAAACATATATTTCATAATAATAATGTTTAAAGCATTTCATTACATGATACGGTTTCAAAAGTATCTAATTTACAAGCTTTTCCCAAGTACAGATGATAGCTTTCATAATCAAGCGAATTGGAAATAATTAACTTTAAAATTAAGTTACGCGTGAACTGGTAGGCTCTCTCAACGCTGAATGACTACTAAAACCGGTCAAGCTTAAAATCTCGTGCCATACCATACTCCCCCTAGCGGAGACTAATCAATATACAAGGGGAAATAATTCCCCACTAATTCATACTTCAAGCGTAGAAAATTATATTATATGAACATCATATATTATCCAATGAAAACAGACGTTACAATCGTACAACATTGTAAATGCTGATTATTTTGATAGTTTGGGTCAAAGTCAAGTGGAAATGCGCTAGACTAATAATCTAGCGATGGCGGGTGCGATCTCCCGCTTTTCCGTAAATTCTAATTGTCTTTTGGAAGAGATCTTTGAAACCGAGGTGTCATGAATCGGTGCTCAAAACCGGGATATAGAAGAAGCAGAGTCACATATGTGAAGGTCTCTTGTGCCATGCACTACCTAAAAACTCTTCTGGATTGGTCACAGTATGACCAATCGCACGTGACAGGAAATGAACCAAAAGAACAAGTATTTGAGACAAGAATTCCATCAGATCATGACTTTGATCGTCATTTTTTCGTTTATCTCGAAATACTATGGGCAAATTTGGACGATCTACTCAGTGCGTCTAAAATAGAAAATTAAAAAAAAAAAGATTTGTATACTTTATACAATTTATAATTTACAGATCTATAAACTTGTATATATGTCAAAATAATACATGATTAGAACGATTCACCATCAACACGTTTATACAATTTATCTTAAAGAGCGTTTAGTTGTCAAGAAAGTCTTAAAATCTTGATCATGCGGATGTTTGTTTAAAAGTTGTTTGACATGAACAAAGTCGTAAGTTACGGAATTTTCGCCAGCTTCATTCATGAACCATACGTGTCAGTTTTTTTTATAAAACATTCAAAATAAGAAACATAAATAGATATTATACGGTGCCTAAATCGACGGTCTCCGGTCACAATTAAAAGACCGGCAAAGAACGTCGATTAGACCTCCAATTGAAGGAGAGCTGCTATTATTATACACAACTGAGGAACATTACTTGTTATAAACTAGTTTGAGGAGGGTTGAACACTTTTGTTGATTTTCTTCGTTTGTTGCCAATCAAATCAGGGAAAGCAAATGCGTATAATTAATCTACAGAGAATAATCAGATGAAATATGTGTCGACACATAAAAAAAGTTATTGTGCAACGTTGGGACACTATGAACAACTCTTTTAAAAATTAACACATGTGTCGCTTATGTAATTGAAACACGTGTTTCAATATGTCATATAATGCCTTTTTTCTGATACAAAAAAAGACAACTTATCCCGTGTACATAATCTTTTAACCTTTAAACACGTTGTTAAAGAGTTTACGCTTATTCCATTGCGCAATGGTGTAAGAGGCATATTTCCACACTGTCGTTTATATCATTAACTGTCTTCTCTCCTAAGGTATGAGGCAGGAGTTTACTATGACGATAACCATGGCAACGAGCGCCAAACCTCCTGCTGCAGCGTCCAGAGCAAATGACCAGCCGAGAGTTGAATTCACCAGCGAGTCGAACCCAACTCCGTAAATAATTATTGCAGCTATAATACATCCACCTAAAAAAGAAGAAAAAATAATTGGTTGATGCACTTATAGAGAAAGCAATTTCATGTCTACTTGTAGAGACTTGTGAAAGATTATATTGTCCCAGAAAGTCAGATGATGAAAATCCTCCGAGGTTGAATTTAACAAGTGACTTGACTTTTTCGAAAACGTAGCTAAATACCGTTTTCCGGTACGTCACGGATTTTAGCTCTTGGGAATTAAACCAAATGAAGTACATAACGTTACTTTATACGTGTTATTTCTATTTCTAATCATTAATTTTACCGTTTAAGGTGGAGAAGTCTTGATATCTTATAAAAGATTAACAACACTCCTTTACTATCTGTCTCAAATTTGACAAAAAAATAATTATTTATCATGAAATTCTAAATATTTGAAACAGTCGTGGTGGCACCAGCCATTTTAAGTATAATAATTAAATTCTGCATAAAATTGTTATTATTCGTACAATGATATTAAATTATTTTTATACAAAAAACAATCGTATTTTTTTTATTTCAACAAAAGCATACTTTTTGCTTGTCCACGCTATTCATTTACATTGAAATTAAATTCCCTAGACCCACGGTGCATATCCATATCGGTACCCTCTTTGCGAAATCTGCCCAAACGGTACCCTCTCTGAACATGCACAGGTCATTCTCTGCTAAAAACAAATCAGCCATGAACAAGAAAATAAAGGACCGCTTTCAAACAAAAAGACTAGATAAACCTACAATTTGTTTATATTCATTTCATCATTTGCGGAAACTTGGTTGTATCCATATGACCAAAGTCATGTGCGGGAAATTAAATCGAAATAATGTTGATAATGATAATGACGACTTTGATACTGTTGTTGTTAATCATAATAATTATTATCAGGACAATCCAATTATAAAAGCAGGATCAAGCCTTGGTAACTTATAAACAATTTTCATTAAAACATGTTACGAAGCACGTACTTTTTATTTCATGAACGTCATAATATTCTTTATTATTGAAGTGTACAGTATACAAATTAGTACATATGTTTAGCAACATGTGCTTTGTATGTTGGCATAACAAAATGGTTTCCTATCAAAATGGGAAGGGACTCCACATTTTTTTACATGAACGACCTAGAAATATGTTTCCGAGATTTGTGTAGGTCTATACCAATAACGTATGTGCACATTTTCCGATCACTACTTCGGCCTAATTTTCTAAATGACTGCAAAATGACCCAACAAAATAAATATATATGCAACTCATTTGCTCAAACTGATCTTTAAAATCGCCCGAAAAATAGATATTCAATTATATCACAGTATATTTCTTTTTTATCCTCCATTTTAAGTGTCACACTATGTCTATGTAAGTATTCCAAATATTGTGATTTTCAGGCTTTTTATCTCAGTTAAGCTTCTTTAACATGTATATAAAATTTTATCCGATTGTTTTACATTATTGTTCATGTCGTTCACAATTGACACCTGTCTAGACATTTTTATTGAAATTAAACTCGATTACATGTACCTGTAATGGATTTGTTTTTGAATTATGAATATGGATCTCAGTCTTTATTGAAATCTATTTCATTTTATTCACTGAGATATATGAACTTAAAAGTAACAATTTTTCCGCTATCAAGTTGAGTAGAATTAGTGATATATATTTCAAAATATTGGTTATTGTGATAGAGCTATATTTGATAATGAAATTGTGTATATCACAATATAAAGATAAATGAGCCGTGTCATGACAAAACCAACATAATGGGTTTGCGACCAGCATGGATCCAGACCAGCCTGCGCATCCGCGCAGTCTGATTAGGACCCATGCTGTTCGCTTACCAACCTTATTACAAGAACAGAAACTGACAGCAAACAGAATGGGTACTGATCAGACTGCGCGGACGCAAACGTACTATGTTGGTTATGTCATGGCACGGCTCAATTATAAACTAAATGCTTATAAAAATCTTTTTAAGAATTGAACGTTACATACATATTGAATGATATTTATTTATTCAATGCCATTGCTTATTTTCCTTACATGTATAACCCTTCTTTCATTGTAAAATATAAGATTAAACACAATTATGGCAGGTGTAAAAAGTAAAAAGGAGAAAAAAGTCAAGTCGACTTACCTGCTAAGAAACATAAGATGATAGCAACAATTGCTGTAATTTTGTTCGGCAAACATGCGTACACTATAAGAACCACCATTGCCGCTATAGAAAACACCCAGCCAATCATAGCAAGTGATAGAGTCCATAGCTGGTCTGTGTAGTATTCTGTGAAAATGAAGAAAAACGCCGTTCATGTCATGTTAAATACATTTTTGTAACTAATTAGTTTGAAACTAGCACCGTGCGTTATTTGAGACTAACACTGTGCGTTATTTGAGACTAACACTGGTGTGTTATTTGAGATTAAAACTATTAGACAGGGCTATATCCGCGGGTTTCGTTACTGAGGCTTTCAATCACCGTGTATTATTTGAGATAAGAACAGTTACTATTAGGCAGGGGTTTCACCGTGTGTTTATTAAGTGGTCCAACTTAATGTATTTGGTAATATTATTTAGTAAATTCAAGTAATTTTGACCCGTAGTCAGCTGACATACATGTATTAGTCTATGTTTACGTACCGAATTGTTGTGCCGCAATTCTGTCTACCAAGGATTTTTAGCACGAAGTCGCTCGTTTCCTGATAGATATTTTTGAACGGGAGGGCTAGAGACCTTGGGTTGGTCTCATTTTGAAGCTTAATATAAACGTGAAATAGTGATAAAAGTTTTTTTAATTGCCTGGCCAGTTGTTTTCACAACGGCCCGGGAAATGAATCCCTTGCTCGTACGCTCGAATCTGGAGTTTCCGGCCTTCTCTTAACTTATAGTATATTTTAAAAGGGGATCATTATTTACATTTTTTGGGGTTTTTTTTACACTTTTAAGATGAACACAGGTTTTTTTTATCAATCTGGTCATATTTTTTCTTCCCAGGTCCGAAACTCGTGCCTGTGAGTGAATCGTATCAATCAAGCAGAGATAAACGGTCGCTGTTATTCTAATGCACAAATCCTGAAAATAGGCAACCTTTCAGCCACAAAAGGCATTGTCTCAATGACATTTCCGTTATTATTTTGACATTTGAAGCGTAGTAAATATCGTTATCTAAGTTCTCTTTTAATGAACCAATGACGTGCTTAATGACGCAAAAGGGGAAACAGTAAATGAACCAATGACTCATGCTATATGACGCAAAAGCAATGACTATTCTAGGATTTGAAAAACAGAGAAAAAAATGAAAATTTAATACATTTATTGATTTTTTTGCCTTGTTTATCTGTGTAAAATTTTCCCCCTGCCTCTGAAAAATAGGGGGGAAATCTCAAAAATATGGGTGAATCCCCCATCCCCCTCCTAGAATACATACTGAAAAGGTGAAACAAAGTGCGCAAAGAGTATAACTTACGTGAGTTTCCATATTTATCAAGAATGTCCTGTACACTGACGCACACTCCTAGAGTATTGTTACACTGCACCACTAACCCTGTGTAAATCTTGTCCCCATTGGCACCCTCCGTCTCGTTCCAATACGGTGTAAATATCGCTATTGTACTACACACCACACTAACTATCATCACTATCATCGCAACTTTAGCGATTATCGTACTGTCACCGCACACCATTTTCGATAATCTAGATATATTGATTATTTGTATAAAAAATCTGAACGGACTAGTAAAGTTAACGATTTCTATCCTTGCTGTATTTAATGATTTTTATGTATTTATGTTTCTAAAATAATAATTATAAATTCCCGGACTCCTGAAAAAAAACTGAATAATAATTATTTTCAAAGATTATAATTTTATTTTAAATCAAACTTGTTAAGTGCGTTCCTCTATATAAAAGTCAGGAAGAATTTACGCTTATATATCTATTGGTTATATACATGTATATTATTTTTATAGGTAATATAAAATGACCTAAGCAGCGAGTAATTTATTCTTTTCACCCAAGTACTTTTTACGTATATATCGCAATCCTAATTTTATGATTCGCCTACCAATAAGTCACGAAAAATGATAATACGTGCTATTTTTAATTTAAATTTCAATACAAGATGATTAAAGTGTGTTTATCCGATACCCGCATTTACGTACATCTATTGAATGGTCTAAGTACTTTTGGGCTATTTAAAACGTACATAACTCGTTAAATTGACGAGGTAGGTAAATATCGTACCATTTTTGTTTTGGAAACTCGAAATTCAACAAAAATTCTAAAAATAAAGATTAAAGATCACAAATTAGAGCGCTTTTTTAAATAGTTTAAATATTTGTTTAAATATTTATATTATTTTCTCTTGTCGGTTGAGCATTTAAGAGAATTGAATTTGTGGGACTTATTTAGGACAAGATATATTTATCTTTTAAGTAGTTTAAGGGCGATTATTCAAGTAGATTAATACTTTTTTCTTTGTGTATAAACAATGTAAGATGCAAACATAAAAAAGAAAACAAAGAAATGTATTTGGCCGCAAGTTATAACAAAATCAGGAAAAGGCCTGTTACATAAGAAGTTGCATTAGTTGCATTAGTTACAAAGTTGGCAGCATATGTATATGTCTGTGAAATTGTACACTAATAACTATATGGATGGTTATTTCAGAACGTAAATATTGTAGAAAAGGTGTAAGAAATAACTGTTCGTAAAGAAGCTCGAAAACAAGTTAACTTCTTGTCGTTGAATATATCGTATCGTATCGTATTTATTGTATTGTAGTTTTGTTGTGTTTTGGTTGTGTTATGCTATGCTATGCTATGCTTTGCTTTGCTATGCTATCTTATGCTATGCTATGCTATGCTATGCTATGCTATGCTATGCTATGCTATGCTGTGCTCGTATCGTATCGTATCGTATTGTATCGAATTTATTGTATTGTTGTTGGGCTGTGCTTTAGTTGTGTTATATTATGTTATGTTATGCTATGCTATATTATGCTATGCTATGTTACGCTACGCTACGTTGTATATATAGTATGTAATGAACTTGCCCCGCTTTAGATTTAGGAACCATCAAAGTTTAAGAGAATTATAGGCACATTGCTCAAACCTTTTATGTAAAGGCCAACATGAGTTTTAAAAATGTAAATAATGGTTTTAGAGCATATTAGGCGCATATTACCTGAAGAAAGTAGCAATGAATTTGAAATTATTTGTTGTAAAAGTTAAATGTCAAAATACAAAAATCCGAGCTAACAACAGAATCCAGCCTGGTCAGACTGAACGGATGTATAGACTTGACTGGCTCTACACTGGGTTAGAACTAGATCAAAATATGCAGAACAAATAGAAAAGCAAAATATAAAGAAAATACAAAAATAAAGCTGCGAAAAAGGGCTTGGAAGGCTAATGCAGCGGTCGTCATATATGTTGATTATTTTATAAAATATGAGTGGGAAAATATGGTTTTTCTTTTCTTTTATGAAATTCGAATTCTTTGTAAAAAGAAAATTAAAAAAGAAACTTAAACAACAACTTTTTTTGTCCGGTCAGGAGGTGTATTATTATTTCAGTCTGTCACTCATTACAGTAGTTTTGCATTTGTATTATTTAGAGCTCAATTTTATCCTACTGTCCTCGAAAAATTTTTAAGCTAGGAAGCATTTAAATGTTTATCAGAACAACTCGGCCTTTCTTCATAATAACCTCGTACTTGATACCGATTGAAAGTAGTTCTACCATACCACGTGGTTTTAGATGAAAGTATAATCTTTCATGATGTGTAACAAATGTAAATATTTGACATCCATAGGAAAATTAAGTATATTTCGCTAAAATTATGATTGAACAATTGTCTGAAATCTAGATATATTGTCAAAAATTCCCAGCATTAAATTACGATGTGTTTCCGCATCTTACTATTGCGTTCGATGTCCTTATCCGAAGACTGACGGAATGGGTCGAAATGTTGCGATTGACGAAAAGTCGACGGTTCCTACTTGTGCATCTATAACTTAATTAATGCTCAGTGCGTGTGTGCGCGTGTGGTTGCGTCGTGTGCTCGGTTGTGTGGATGAGGGTTGTATTGTATGCAAGTGAAAGTGCCGGTGTGAAATAATAAATTTAACTCTGACTCATGTTCAATAGAATGTTCTCAAAACTATGATACCATTAAAAATAGAGATCCAAAATGGACAACGACTGTATTTTAAGTTAATGATACCAAATGTGTAAGAAACATTGCAGTGTCGGATTATAAGAATATTTAGTATATAGAAGTTAGCTTAAACAAAAAACAACAACAAAAAACACACACAAAAAAACACAAAAAAAAAGAAAAAAGGTAAGTATAGTGTCTAAGGGAAGGGTGATGACGTCAGAACCTGTAACCAATTCACAGTTATTTTACTGTACGCCAATCCCTCTGGCAAAGTTTGTTAAGTCAGAAATTGTAAAGGAAACACTGACAATCCCCAAGAAGTAATGGTTGACAACTTTTAAAAATAACTTTTGGAAACAGTTGCTTTCTTTCTAAAATATTTCTTCCAGAGTCACCAACTTTAGAGGCAAAATCTGCCCGTTAACAATATCACACAGTCCTTCTTCAATAAAATTAGATTTAAAGGTATTTTTGTTCTTATTTTCTTTTTCTTTTTTCCAAATGAAAATCCCGTAAGGTATATATGGAAGTGGCTTCCCTTTAGCACATACCTGGTGGAAGTCTTTATTTCAATATATTGTTTCCCGGTTATATCATTTAAGTGTTATATCAATTTAAGTGGTATATCGTATAAGTGTCATATCACTTTACTGTTTTATCACGTTACAGTCATATCATTTTTAGTGTTATATCACGTTTAGTGTTATTTTCGCTTTATTTTAGTGTTATATCATCTTAGTGTTATATAACTTTACTTTATTATAAATCATTAAATTAGTTTTAGATAACTTTAGTGTTATATCACTTAAGTATTTTATTACAGCTCTCCATGAAGAAAAATTACTAAAAATCAGAAAAACTGTAATGTGCAAAATATATTCAAGTCTTTAAAAATGATGAACTCAGAAGATTATGAATATTTAAGCTGGATGCGAAATAATTTTCCAGGAAAACGGTAATAGCGTTTTCATAATCCGGAAATCGTCTTCCATCAGTTTTTTCAAGTACTTTGATAACGTTGTAATAGCCAAAGAGTATTTTCATATTGTCGTAAAAGCCAAATAGTACTTTGAATACGTCGTAACTGCCAAAGAGTACTTTGATAACGTCGTAAGAGCCAAAGAGTACTTTAATAACGTCGTAATAGCCAAAAATTACTTTGAAAACGTCGTTATAGCCAAAGAGTTCTTTGAAAACGTCGTAATAGCCAAAGAGTACTTTAATAACGTCGTAATAGCCAAAGAGTACTTTAATAACGTCGTAATAGCCAAAGAGTACTTTAATAACGTCGTAATAGCCAAAGTGTACTTTAATAACGTCGCAATAGCCAAAGAGTACTTCAATAACGTCGTAATAGCCAAAGTGTACTTTAATAACGTCGCAATAGCCAAAGAGTACTTTAATAACGTCGTAAAAGCCAAATAGACGAATCTGAGCAGCACCAAATGTTGCTCGTGACATTCAGAAAAGTAAAGTGACCTTGACACCGAGAGTCTTATGCGCATTTTAGTATTATTTTTAGAGTAATCTGGGACTATTTTTTCTTTCAGAACGTGCTCAAAAGTAATGCATATATGAGAGTGTGGCATTAATTTTTCAAAGAGTAGACCATGCGTAAAAATTTTGAGCGGTTTTCACTAGTTAAAGCGTTATTTGCAATAAAAATCTATGTAGGGTCAGCTCAGGCAACTACCATTTACAGCTCCATATATAATCCATCTGTTATGTTATATTTTCAACGAAATGCTTTACTCGAAAAACTGTAAAAAAAAAAACTGATGAAATATGAGTGTTTCATGAGTCAGTGAATGACGTCAATGATATGATTTTGTTTTTTCATAAGTGAGTAAATGACCATGTTGCGTAAACTTATTGAAAAGGGGGATGGTTCCTTTTTGAGTAAACATGCATTTGTAGGGTTATCTAATTCCCGGCTGATAATGATTTGCTATTGGACAAAAGTAGTGCTTTATCGGGGTAAAAAAATCTGAAAAAGGACCCTCAAGAGCTTTGAAAACAACAACGTTATATGTAAATTTCAGACTCAATTTGTTTGAGTATGTGCTTTGGTAAACCCGGACAAAATTTGCACAGATTTAAACTTACATTTTATTAAAGCGTACAATTTGTAGACTTAAAAAAAACAAAGTTACCAAACATTCCACCCGAAAAAACTCTAAAATCCAAAATGGCGTCCAATATGGCGTCTTAAATGGTGAGTTTATAATATTGTATCATTTGCTTGTCTCACATGAATGATTTAAAAACCATCCAATTCCCATGCTAAAATATTCAAAATATATTAACAAATTAATGTATGTGTATTATCAATATTAATAAGTTTTTCTTCGTTTTATTACTTATTTTACAGAAAACAACCTTTTTACATTTGGAATATTCAGTTAACTATAATTCTGGGATAATGTATATTTCAAGTGGTTAAGTTGACATTATGAACTTAAAGAAACTAAAAAAAAATTAAACCTGTAATTTTATTTTGACTACTATATTGATGTGCACTATTATAGACTTATTACAAATTTCAGAGTGATTAACAAGAAAGACAAGTCTATAACTGTTAAATATGAGGATACTTTTTTCAATTAAAAAAAAAAAACAATATATTTAAACATGCTTGTTTCGTTAAAGTTTACACATAATAAATTACTTCTTACATATTTCATCAGTGAAATTTAGTATAAAACCAAATATAAAAATTGAAGCTTTTTTTCTGACGTGTTTAAAAGA